CCCAGTGCTCATCCCCACAAGTGCCCTCCTCCATGCCCATCACCCCCCTTCCCTCTCCCTCACCCCTGATGCATCAGCCCTCAGTTTGTCTTTAGCATTCAAGAGTCTCTCATGGGTTGCCTCCCACCTTCTCCCCCACTATTTTTCCCCTTCTCCTCCCCCATGGTCCTCCGTTAAGTTCCTCCTAATCTACCTATATGGGCAAACATATGGTATCTGTCCTTCTCTGCCTGACTCGCTCAGCCCAACACCCTCAAGTTCCTTCCATGTTGTGTTGCTACAAATGGCCAGATTTCATTCTTTCTCATTGCCATGTAGTATTCCATTGTATAGATAAACCACATCTTCTTGATCCATTTGTCAGTTGATGGACACTTAGGCTCTTTCCGTGTTTTGGCTATTGTTGAGAGTGGGCTGGTTCAATGTTCACAAATCAATCAATGTGATACATCACATTAACAAAAGAAAAGATAAAAACCATATGATCCTGTCGATAGATGTAGAAAAAGCATTTGACAAAATACAGCATCACTTCTTAATAAAGACCCTGGAGAAAGATGGGATAGAAAGAACTTACTTAAACATCATAAAAGCCATCTATGAGAAGCCCTTAGCTAACATCATCCTCAATGGGGAAAAACTGAGAGCTTTTTCCCTGAGATCAGGAACATAACAGGGATGTCCACTCTCACCACTGTTGTTTAACATAGCACTGGAAGTCCTAGCATCAGCCATCAGACAACAAAAGGAAATAAAAGGCATCAGAATTGGCAAAGAAGTCAAACTTTCACTTTTTGCAGACCACATGATACTCTACATAGAAAATCCAACAGACTCCACCAGAAGCCTACTAGAACCGATCCATGAGATCAGCAAAGTTGCAGGGTACAAAATCAAGGTACAGAAATTGGTTGCATTTTTATACACCAACAATGAAGCAGCAGAAAGAGAAATCAAGAAACTGGTCCCATTCACAATTGCACAAAAAACCATAAAATGCCTAGGAATAAACCTAGCCTTTTCTCTTTTTTATCAGGCATTCACAATTTTTCTTGCTGCAACTGTTGTTTTCAGATTGGGGAATGGTGAGCTTTATGGTTACATTTGAGTTTACATTGAAACTGGAGTTGTAAGATGGATTGATTGAAAAAGAGTGTGCACAAGCAGGGGAGGGGCAGAGGGAGAGGGAGAGAGAATCTTAAGCAGGCTCTACGCTCAGTGCAGAGCCTGACGCGGGGCTCCATCTCACAACTGTGAGGTCACGACCTAAGCCAAAATCAATGAGTCAGGTGCTTAATCCATGGAGCCACCCAAGTGCCCCAAAACTGGAGCTGTAATTGAGATATGAAGGCTTAGAATTATTTACGTTTTTAAAATGTTTATTCATTTTTTAAATGTTTTTATTTATTTCTGAGGGAGAGAAAGAGACAGCGTGAGCAGGGGAGGGTCAGAGATAGAGGGAGAGGTACAGAATCTGAAACTGGCTCCAGGCTCTGAGCTAGCTGTCAGCACAGGGCCCGATGCGGGGCTCCAACCCACAAACCGTGAGATTATGACCTGAGCCGAAGTCGGACGCTCAGCCGACTGAGCCACCCAGGTGCCCCTGTTTATTCATTTTTGAGAGCGAGAGGGAGAGCACAAGTTGGGGAGGAGCAGAGAGAGAGGGAGACAGAGGATCTGAAGCTGGCTCTGTGTTGACAGCAAAGAGAGCTGGATGCGGGGCTCAGACTCATGAATTGTGAGATCATAAGCTGAACAGAAGTTGGATGCTTAGCCAACAGAGCCACCCAGGCATCACTAGAATTGTTTTAGAAAAGTACATTTACTTTAATGTCTTCCAATTTTATTCCTTTTCATTTATGTCTGTATTTGTATTTGTTTCTGATGGAGATTAAGTTTCAACTGTGGTAAAGTAACTGGTGACTTTTTCCTAGTTCCAGACAGTGTTAATGGAGGGCAGTACGGTATCATGTAGTGTCATGGAGATAGGCACCGGAATTTAGCTGGTTCTTGCTGCTTGGTAGTCATTTTATTCATTTCTTGTCATTTTTTTTTAAGAATACTTCTTTTATAATTGATTTAAGTCTTTCTCATTCTCTTCAGAAGAGAAGGAAACCAATATTTATTGAGCATGCTTTTTAAATTTATTTTATTTAGTATAATTTATTGTCAGATGGCTTCCATACAACACCCAGTGCCCATCCCAACAAGCACTTTCCCCAATTGAGCATGTCTCCCTCTCTCTCTGACCCTCCCCTGCTCACGCTGTCTCTCTCATTCTCTCAGAAATAAATAAAAACAAAAAAAGTTTTTAAATAATTTTTTTTAATGTTTATATTTTGAGAGAGAGAGAGAACTTGCGCATAAGCAGGGGAGGGGCAGAGAGAGAGAGAGAGAGAGAGGGAGACACAGAATCCGAGGCAGGCCCCAGGCTCTGAGCTGTCAGCACAGAGCCCAATGTGGAGTTTGAACCCACAGACTGCGAGATCATGACCTGAACCGAAGTTGGAGGGCTTAACAGCCTGAGCCACCCAGGCGCCCTGACCTTTTTTTTTTTTTTTTAAGAACATATTTCTATTCTTTTGTGTACTGGCATAACAAAATAGAATGAAAATACTTCAAAATACAGCATATTAATTGATATTTTTATTACACAGTTTTGAGTGACTTGATTTATAAAGTCCTGCTTCTGTAGGACATTTTTGATTCAGTAACTCAGAAGTAAATTTAGTGCCTAAAATACTAATTCTTGAATGTAGCTAATCTAAACCATGGAGATTATCATAAAGTCAGCTGGGCTCTGGTTTTAAAATGTGCTATACAATCAGACTTGCCTTACTCTAGTTACTGCTTTCCCCTGATCTCCTCTTCACATTGACTTCTATTTGAACCATTTATATTTGAGCAAAGCATAATTCTTAATAGCAGAATAATGGCGATTACAGAATTATTATATTTTACACACACACACTCACACACACAAGCATACAGGGAAAGACTACTTTTCATTGTAGGATAGTTAAGCATTCAAATTTGGTAATATCAGAATTCTGATTCCCCTTATAAGATTTTCTTCATGGCCTGTGGGAACCAAATCCTTTGTCAAGCCATTAGTGGCAGGAATAAATACATAATGGAAACTAAAAGCCTGGACCCTTCACTTAACATCATTCCAGAAGACTGTTACCTGCAAGTCTAACTCTAGCAAGCCAGTCATTCTCTTTCAGCCCTAGCCCCACCTCTTCTCTCTGAGAGAAGTTATGTATGAGAATGGTGTAGAAAAAAAAGGGATCAGTGATCCTGTTGTAGCCACTATACTTTAGACACAGAGTGTGTGTGCACACCTCCTCCCTGGGCTTTGGGCTATTCCGACAGTGTTCAAGGTCTGTACATTTTTCAAGCACGGTCAGGGGCAGATCTTCCTAATTGTTATTGAATTTGCCAGGCACAGTTAAGGAAATTGACTAAGTTTGCTGATTTGAGTGATGTCAAATTCTTTTTCTCCTCTAACCTGTCAGCGAATTCTGTTTTTTGAATGGTCAAAGTTGGGTCAGGTATGAAAACCGGACTTATGTGACAAGCAGAGCTGGGTTTATGATTTGCATATTAATTTAAAGATGTTACTATGGCTTTACTTTTATGTTCTTACGCAGGTAGGGGCCTGAGGGGATCTTTTTAGAGATATTTGGCCTAGCCAGCTGAATTTTTTTCTTTTACTATCAAGGAAAGAGAACTTTCAGACTTCTCATAATGAAATAATGAATAGATGAATGAATGAAAAAATGAGTAGATGATTGAATGACTCTGACAAGAGTCAAAACATGGCAAGAGTTGAAAGAAAATTTCATTAAATATATTCAGAAATTGGGAATCAAGAAAATGCTGTTAAAAGGCACAATTTTACTCTGGAAAATTAACTATTGTTTACAAATTTTTCTGTTACCACATTTTCTTGAAGTCACTTTTTAAAAAACTTGGGAATATATTCTTAGAATCTTTATTGTGATTGTGAATACCTTTGTAGTATTTTTATTTTCTGGCTAAATATAATATTCATTATTTGGGGATGGTAATGTTAATTGGAATCTGTGACATTAAAATGTTTTGGGAAAGATTTCTTTTAATAACTTTCCCTGCCTTGTGTAAGACAGAGATCCCTTATTAATATGATCTTTGTGTGGTCTGATTCAGATGTTAATCTGGCTTGTTGAAGGCAGGCGTCTAACTTGAAACTTTAACCTGAGAAAAATATTAGACCTCTCAAATATAAACACAGAGAAATTGCTACAGAAATCCATAGGAGCTTTAGAAATCAAAGTACTAACATATGACTGTTATGCGACAAGTTTATTAAGTGGATTAGTATCTGCACTCTTCTTCTGTTTGCTTTACTCTTTTTCTTTCTTTGAAAATATTTTTCATATTATATAATGCTTCATTCTCAATGCTATAAATATCCATCAGTTGTGTGCTTTCTCTACTGATTTCAAGCCTCAAAATGGAGAACTAAGAGTTTACATTTTTCATGAGACCATTTGTAAACTCTTATTTACACTTAATTTTTTTTTTTTTTCCCATTTCATCTTACATTCTTGTGGTTTCATTTGGGCGCGCAGTAGCATACTGTGTTGAGTTCTTTTATCACCTCTGAAGGCACTCATTGATCCCTTGTGATGAAGCCGTGTGAAGCGGCATAGTCCTTGTGGTATTCAGGGCCTCTGGGGAGAGGAGATGAAAATGTACATCAGAAAAATGAGGAGTGGCTCTGGCATTAATCTTGCGCATCTTGAGGAGCTGAGTGTCACCCTGGCACTGCTGAATTGATCATTTCCATAAGATAGGCCGTGTACCTGGAAAATATTCTTTTTCAGGCTATATGGTGAGCGTCCATTGCTTGAGCTTCTGAATGTGCAGTTTTTTTCCTTTGGAAAGAAAAATGAAAAAAGAAAAATCTGTTATTTCCCTCCAGTGATTTAGCAGAACTTTTCTATTTTCTTCAGGTAATTAAACCAGAGAGCAATGACAAAGAAACAGAAGGTACCGATGAATTAGATCTCCCTGAAGAGCCCTTTGGAAGCCATCTCCCGCAGCAGTCCGTGAAAGGCTATAATGACAGTCCTGATGTCATTATAGAGGCTCAGTTTGATGACAGCGACTCAGAAGATGGACATGGCAACACACAGAATGTCCTGGTTGATGGTGTTAAGAAACTCTCAGTTTGTGTTCATGACAAAGGTGAGTCCTGGATTGCTGCCTGACATGTTATTTTACACTAACCTGAGTGTTTTAAGTATCGGGATTCTCTCTGTGCTTCACACCTAATTACGTGGTACAGTTGGGACCTTCCCAATTTCTAACCAGTGGCAGCTTTTAGGAAAGGGGGATCTGTGACAGCTTCTTGCTGCTGGTTCCTGTGGTCAGCTGTCTTTTCCTAATGGGTCTTGGGTTGTGTTGATAGCCAACCTTGACATTTCCTGTGATGAGCCCAGTCCACCCCTGTGGCTCATATGAACAGAATTAAACTGATCTTTCAAATCCAAAAAAGCACTTCATTTTACCTGTCATTTTGCTTTAACTCAGTATCTTTTATTTTTATATTATTTTTTTAAATTTTCAGTGTTTAGTTTTGAAAGAGAGACAGAGTGCAAGTGGGGGAGGGGCAAAGAAAGAGGGAGACACAGAGTCCGAAGCAGGCTCCAGGCTCTGAGCTATAAGCACAGAGCCTGATGCAGGGCTGGAACTCATGAGCCATGAGATCATGATCTGAGCCGAAGTCAGACGCTCACCCGGCTGAGCCACCCAGGCACCCCAACTCAGTGGGTCTTTTAAATGATATTTTAAAAGATATTTTTGTCATTGGTAGTGAGAATGGACCACCTTAAATTTGATAAAGTAGATTATATTTACACAGTGTTTTGATTGTAAACCTTGAAGAAAGCCAGTCTTATTGTCTCTAATCAAAATCCAAGCCATGTGTCCTCTGGAGGCTGAAGAAAGCAGTTGCAAATACGCGGGGGGAGAGCTATGACCAAGGGCCCTAGCTGACCACACGCTGGGAAACTTAACGGGAAGGTAGCCCCCAAATTGGAATATTTTGCTGTAGAGATGTCTAAGACATTTTAAATACAGGGAGTATTTTTCCCAGCCAAATTGAATTTTATCTATACTATGAAATGGAAACGATTGACCTGGCTAGGCCGACTAGATTATGAGTTGTTGTTGGTGTCTTGTTTTGTTTTGGTTTTTATCAGGAAGAGGTTTCTGGCACAGTCCCCTTGAAAGGCTAGAAGACATGCCAGCATATTACTAAAAGAGGATGTTTTGCGGACACCTGGTGATAGGGCCTGGTGAGCAGATCTCACTGACACCCTGAAGTAAGCTGGAGGTGATTTCAGGAAGTGACTGCATAAGGATCACCCTGTTTCTTCACTGCTGATGAGGTAGTGACCTGGGGTGGTGAGCGTTTTCTGAAAACATGCCTAGCTTTTTGGTGCCAAGTACTGCTCATTCAGAAGGACTTTCCAACTGTGAAATTCCTTTTAAATGAAGAGAGTCCTGCAGTGGCCCACCAGGTACACTGACCTGAGGCACCCCGGTTGTTTCATGGCTTTCCTGGTTAACTAGTGATTTCCTGTTTGAGACCCAGCCAACTTTGGTGAGAAGTTCTTCCTCGAGATTCATTCTTCTGATGTTTTTTCTTTCTTCCTTTAAAAGCAGTTGGATACTGTGACCCTCTTCTGAGAGTGCATTTATATAGTGATGGCGTCAGTACTGTGAGTCATGTCCTCTGTATGAGAAGAAAGGGAAATAACCAGGACTCTAGATAGCCAGATTCTCCATCAACAAGATCACCAAGGGAGAGAGATACTTGCAGGGCAAGGCCAGGCAAAGGAGCACTTCAAAACTTATTTAGTATTTGGTCCAAAACTGCTTCATGGAAACCTAGCTCTGGTGATTGGACCTGGCAGACCTCAGGAGCCTCTTTTCCCCTGGGCTCCAAGTTGAAGGGAGAAGATGCCTTGATTTCTTATTAGTGGTTCATACCAGTACAAGGGTGAGAAAGTATTGGTGGATGGGAATGATGACAGAATTGATGTCAGGGTAGATGAAACTTTGTTTGGGAAATTCTAATGCCAGACTTGCTCTTGATTTGTCCTCTGTTGTAGTTTCCCTCCTTCTCTCTTACAAGTAAATATCACTGAACCCTTTACATGTCTACTGTATGCATGTTTTTTCCTTACTCTTTTTATGGTTTTTCTGTCTTTTTCTGTCTTCCTTACTAGGCCTGACTGAGGGAATGGACTTAATTCTTCCCACAGTGTGTGGTACAAATTTTTCTTTCCTGCTAGCCTCTAAATAGAGAGTTTGTGAAACCACATGGCTGTTTCTTATTTCTTGCCCTCTTGATATTTAGGAAAATGGCAATTTGTTCTTTTAAAAAAATAACGGTGTTTTTTAGGATATTTCAACCAGCTTCTCTTCTCTGGATAACATAAAATCTGGTTACAGTTGGAATGTTAGTACTTTTTGCACCATTTAAGGTTTTGAAATTTGTTATTGAAACAAACCATAACCTTAAGAACATTATAAACTTTTCCTAAGACTTCTAGAAAGGTTCTTTGCTTTGTGCGTAATTGCAAAGGGTTATTAATCCCAGTTCACACTTGTGTTCCAAAGAGTGTTTTTTATTTATTTTTAATACCATGTTTCTTTTACCTAAAGGACACGTTGTCTATTGCATGTGTCCACATTGTATATCCCTGTTTGCCCAGGAAACTTTCCTGTCTTTACTGTAACTACCAGTTTCTCTGGTAAGTGAGCAGATAGCCTGGGGATCTGCCACAAGCGTCTGTTGTTGCGTGAAGAGAAAAGTTTCTCTGGGCACCTCAGACCTAACCAGTAGTTTCTTCTAGGAAGACAGCACTGAGCACATCATCCTCAGCCCCTGAGGGAGAGAACAGGCCAATGAGCTGGGCCCCTTTTATAGGTCCAGCCCCACGGGCTCCCATGGCTGAGCCTTTGCCACTTTCCAGACAGTAGCACTGTTGTCGGCACAGAAACCTGCCACCTGGATAGAGACATTACAACCCAAAGAAATTTTCCTTGTTGTCACCTATCTGGGTAATGGTTGTCTGGTTAGCAAACTCCAAAGGATAAAAATCATGATGCCCAACTGATGCCATAGCTCTGCGTCTTTCATCCTCAGGAATTTCAAGAGCAGTTTTGGCCTCTGAATCTTGGGGATCATGACCTCATCAGGTTGTGATGCACATTTCCTGTTCTCTGTCCTAGCTGGGTCTGCCAGAGATCATGTTCAGTTTTCTGGTTTGGAGACAAGCCTCTACCAGTATCCTGATGACTGAACATGGGCTTGAATGTGGAGCTGGTGACCCTTTCACTGTCTCCTATCTCCTGGCCGCCTCCATCTCTTTTCTGAAGGAAGAATCTGCATGGAATCCTTGATGTCTTCTGAGAGCTGAATCTTACTTCTCCTTCTGGGGCCTGCCCAAGTCACCTTCGGGATCAGGATGAGACCTTTTTTTTTTCTTTTCCTCACTTAAGGTTCGTCTCCTTCCAATGACATGCCTGTTCAGTGCCTATGTTTAAGTTCCCTTCCCTTGGATGAAAAGTGACTGTATTTCCCTTTGGGTAAGAAAAGCAGACCCATATGATTATTCTCTTGCGGTATTTCTTGGTTATTTAAATCCCAAGAACACATTCTTCCGACTTTTCTTTGTCTGAGCTAAATTTCTTCTGTTTCCAGGTTCTGAGATCACATCTTCCCTAAGTGATAATTAGTACAACTCAAAGACAGTCAGGTTTAGGGGCGCCTGGATGGCTTAGTCGGTTAAGCGTCCGACTTTCGCTTAGGTCATGATCTCGCGGTTCGTGGGTTCGAGCCCCTCGTCGGGCTCTGTGCTGACTGCCAGCTCAGAGCCTGGAGCCAATTTCAGAGTCTGTATCTCCCTCTCTCTCTGACCCTCCCCTGCTCACGCTGTCTCTCTCTCTCTCCTAGAAAAAAAAAAAAAAAAAGACAGGTTTAGTTCAGAAATTATATTAAAAATTAAATATATTATGATTTCCTATCAACCACAATTTGGGACAGTGTTTTGAAAGCTCATTTTAAAAAAAGGTAAAGCCATGTCCAGACCTGTGTTAGAAGGGTACAGAGGAATTTTGGCTTCTGTGTCTTTTAGACTGAATCAATGGACAGTGCAATCCTATCAGGTGTGATTCAGGTAGAGGTATTTGGTCAGGATCTAGATTGTCTCAGGCCCAAATCCTGTGCTAGACTAGCCATTCCTCCCTATGAAGTCCCCAAAAGAAATATATGCACAAAGGATATATATTCTACAAGGCAGCGGAGGAGCAGTTCTTTATTAATTGAGGTTTTGACCCAAGCCAGAATGATTCCAGCAGTCTATACCTCCACCAGCAGTGCCTGAGGCTTCTTGTATCTTCTTATTCCTGCCAACAGCCAGAATTATCCAGCTTTCTAGTTTTTGTAGTCTAGACTAATTCTGTAAATTTCCCTTTTATATCATTTGCCTATTGTTCTATCAGGGTTACTGTTCTCTTGTTGATTTGCAGGAATTTCTTTTTTTTTTTTTTTTACAAATAGTTTATTGTCAAATTTGTTTCCATATAACACCCAGTGCTCATTCCTACAAGTGCCTTCCTTCCTCCATGCCCATCCCCCCCCCCCGCCGCCACATCCATCAGTCCTCAGTTTTTGTCAGCATTCAAGAGTCTCTCATGGTTTGCCTCTCTCCCTTTCCCCTACCATTTCCCCCCTTCTTCTCCCCCATGTTCCTCAGTTAAGTTCCTCCTAATCCTCCTATATGTGCAAACATATGATATTTGTCGATTTGCAGGAATTTCTGTACTATTCACTATAATAATCCATTTCTACTTTTGGCATTACAAATATCTTCTGCCATTCTGTCATTTAGTCATTTCTCCACTAACCTTGTCATGTCTTTTATTGAACAAAAACCCTTAATTTTAATGGGATAGAATTAATTGTGTATTTTATAGGTTTTTAAGTTTTTCCCTATTCTTAGTTCAAATAGATATTCTCCAGTATAATCTTTCTTTTTTTAACTGCATAGTTTTGTCTTTTGCTTGACTTTGTAATGTGGATTCTTTGTTTTTTGAGATTATTACCTGGTTTCTTTCCAAATCTATTTCTGATATTGAACCATCCTAAGAATTGAAAGATGTTCTTGAATTCT